ACTTTGTCCGTCCATCCGTCCGCCCGTAGACATACATATTTGCAAAATTTCTACACTCTCGAAGATAGAAAACTGAAATTTTTTACATATATAGATTTTTACTAGAAACTTATAATGGGTTCTTTCCATACCATTAAAAAATATAATTATTTTTATTAACTCACGCGATATCGACCTTAAAATCGAACATTATGTTAATCCTTCTTTAAATTTATTTTTGCTTTATTTCAAAGATTGCATTAATAATTCATCCTAAATATATGCAATCTTAGAAACAGTTTGGTGTATGAATGAAAATAATTTTATTATTGTAGTAGGTATACATAGATTAATTTTAAAAGCAGTATTTTCACTTGTTGAAGGGAAAAGTGCTACAATATAAATCATTGGTTTGATACAACTTTATTTTTTTTGTTATTGATTTCATATACTTGGATTGGAATGGGTGAATAAATACGCCCCCTCTTTTAAAATTGAAAATTTTTAAATTTCAATCAGTTTGGTTTAAAGTTCATCTTAAATTATTTTAAAATTGGGTAGTTTAGCAAAGTTTTTTTTTAAAAATAATTCTAACCAAAAGTTGTCATCATCTTTATAATGCCATCAGAATTTATGATTTATTAAATAGACAACAAAATATTTAAATTTCTACAATTTAAAAATTTTTATAATTTCTTCAAATCTCTGAACAAAGAAAACAATAGAAATGGATGAAGAGTTTAATATGTAAGATATTTTATTTTAATATTCTAGTATATAAACTTCAGCAAATTTGTGGTTGAAAATAAAAAATTATTAAAATTATTTTCCCTCATCAATAGCATTTTGGTAGCTTAAGATTAAATTCTGCGGTTCCATAAATTGTTTGTTCGAATGCGAAATGCAATCATTGCGCATATGTTTTGAATTTTTTTTGCAAAATGCATATATAAATGAAAAATTAATTGCATTAAAAACTTATGAAGGAAAAGATGTTTTTTTGAAAAAATTTTTATTAACAATAAATTCACTGGAATTGGAAGGATACATTAAACCAGGCGAATACTACCTTAAAAAAATTAACAAAAATTTCAATTTCAAACATAAGTGCAATTATTTAATTCGTAGGTTTCTTATAAAATATATACATCTTGCATATTAGAAGGAAAAAAATCGAATTTGTAAAGTTTTTTTTGACCTTTGTAAATTTTGTATATATGAACATTAATTTTTACAAACGAATGACGTAACGACATTTTTCAAATAATAATTGTTCTGTCCATAAAATAGATAATTCATGATTGATGGAATCTATGTTCAAAATAGAAATGTGACATCATAAGAATTAAGGGAAATATGTGAGTTATTATATATTCTTACAGCAGAGAAATTGAAAGTGACTATATGATTAAAAATATCCTTACAGAAGAAAAGCATAAAAAATTTACAAAAGAATTTTGTCTCACACAGACATCTTTGTCTTTATTAAATTTTGAAAAATGTAAAAAATATGGTTAATTATGGGTTTCTTCTCGGCTTTCTTGTTTTTCGAAATGCTCTTAAGGAATCAGTTTTAATTTATTTAAAAAAAAATGTCTAATTATAATAATACAATTTCAAATAAATTCAGTTCAAAGTTAGGAAATAAATTATTTTGGCAAAAATTCAAGCTTTTTTGACAAAGTATCAAGAATTAGATTTGCAATAAAATTTGAAACAAAAAAATTAGGGATAAACTGAAGAATTGAACCGTAAATTTAAGAATCCCCCTTAAATTCCTCACAAATACCAAAAATTTGTAAAATTCTAAAGATCAATTATACAGTCTTTTCATGTTTTATCAAATTCTAATTATTTTAAATTTCATAAAAATTAATTTTTTTTTTTAATATATCAAATTAAATAAATAAATGAGTAAAATTAAATATTAGACGCCATAATTGATTCACATTTATTTTATTTTTTTATCTTAATAAATTATTGTTGTCGGTGTCATTTTATTTATTAATTTTTTTTTTTGTATTTTTATTATTAATTAAATAATATGAATAATTTTGTTAAAACTTAAATACATATTTAATAATTAAACTGCAATTGGTATATTGAAAATTGAAAATTGAATATTGAAAGTATTGAAAGTGTAAATAAAAAAAAAAAATGCAATTTTACATTGAAATTTCTCAAGTGTTATGCACTCTAATTTTCTTATCTTCATTTGCAATCAAAAAATGCATATAAGAAATCGAAATATCTAGAAATCTTGTTAGTTTTACTTAAAAGTTACAAGTTAAATTAAAGTTTAACGGTTAGTTAATTAAATTAATTTTTATTTTTTCCAAAATTGCTACAATAATATTTCAATTATTGAGAGTTAAAGAATATTATTCAGATGGAATATTTAAAAATCCTATTTTATGAAAAAAAAAGTGGAATTAAATAAATTATTTTAAAAAATATTTTAATATTTTTAATTAATTTTTTAATACAAAGGATAATTTAACAGTGAATTTTATAAATATATTTTTGTGAAATTTATATTTAAATTGAAGTTTTTATAATTTATTTATAATATAATATTAAAAAAATGCAGACCTAATTAAATTTTTTTACAAATTCTTTAAAGTGAAATTTTAAATAATTAAATTTTCAGATATAAAAAATTTAAAATATAAAATTACTGAATAATATTATTAATTAAATTATAAAAAATAAATGAAATAACATTAAATCACCTTAAATTCAGTATTTTTTTTTAATTTCAACAAAATTTATAACACAAATTTTACAAAATAGCTACATATAAGAAATTGAAAATTGAAAATTATAAAATAAAAATTTTAAAATAAATTAATTTTTAAAAATAATAGTGAACAATATCAATTTCTTCAAGTGGAATTAAACTTATATAATTGAAAATATTCCCATATTTACACAATCATTATTAAATATAGCTCTGTAACTGGAAATATTCTGATTATTTTAAACGACCATTATTGAATTGCCATCATGTTTGAAACAACCTATTGAATTTTTTAAAATTATAATTGGATTATTTTAAATAAGAAAATTTTCCTTACATAAATTCGTAAAAATTCGTAGAAAAAAAAATTAATTTAAATTTTTAACAATATTTTTTTTTTATATAAAATTAATTTTAAATGCAAAATCCTTAATATTGTAATTAAAAATTAATTTATAAAAAAAATAAAATAAATTGAAGTCACCACGTACCACACAATATTTGTGTGGTAAAAATTAAAACTGCACTGAGAAAAATTTTACCTAAATTAGATTTTTTTTAAATAGAACAGACACAAACCATATCTGACAACCATACTTTATACCAAATATTCCAGAAAATGCATTTCTTACATCTTCATTTCTATTTTGAATGTAATTTAAATTTTGAACCATTTATGAAAATAAATTACCTATTTGAAAAAAAAAAAAAATTTCTAAATGGGCTATAATAATTTTGTACAATATTTTGTAGCCAAATTCAAAATATTTTTCGAGTAGCACAAATAGAATTATTTGGTAATGTTTTTATTTGAATACCGATAAACTTGTGTCCATCAATAAAATTTTTTATTCAGCTACATTTTATTTTAAAATAGAAAAAAGGGCTGTTGTCAAAGGAGCTATAGCTTTCTTACAATATTCATACATTAAAATTAAATGATCAACGCAATCGTTATACATTATATTCCTTTTGATTTTATTTTATCTATATAATAGAAATAATTTTAGTGTGTTTTGCTATAAGCAGTATTCGAATATATTTATAATCATTTCTACTTTGACTAAAAATATTACGAATTATTAAATATTTTATTTATGAAGGAGAAAAATATTATCTTCGAAATGCTTTACGACCGCGCTTTAAATATGCGTTTTCAGTGTTTTCTAGTGTTCGGTTAAGTGTTCATTAGAGCACAAAATCTTACAATATTTGAATTAAATCTCGTATATTCAAGATTTATAGACTACAATAGTAAAATTTATATTTAATTCGAAACATTCATACGTGTATCAATGAGAAATTAAGAAGAATTAAACTTATCCAATATGTTTACTTAATTATTTCTTTATTTAAAATATATACTGTGAATTCTGGAAAATTGGAATTTCAGAAAAATTCCAAAGTAAATTTTCTAATGATTTTTTGATATAAAAAAATTAGTAGCTCAATTTGAAAAAAGTTTGATTTTTTATTAGAATTTTAAAAATTTTATTTTAGGTATTCAAATTTAGGCAGCTTTCTTAATTGCCTCTAATTAAATTGATGATAATTCCAAAAAATATAAAAAATAATTACTAAGCAGCTTAGCTATTTAAATGCTATTTAAAATTATTAAATTAATCACTAATTAATGAATTAATTATTAATTTTTAATGTTTCTGTAGTTCACAAATAATAATTTTTGCGAATTTAATTTAAAGAAACTTTGATTTTAATTTTAATTTAATATAAAATTTTATAATTTAATTGAGATATGTATAAAAAAATTACGATCAGCCTGAAAATATGCAATTTTTTTTTTTAAATTCTATAAAAGATTTTTAACTAACAAACTTATATAATGAAAATTGACCTTGAATTACACGAAAACTGTTAAATTATTAAATATTATCCAACATTATTAAATTAAATTGCAAATTTAATTTAATTTTTAATTACTAAAGCTAAGAGACTTGCAAAACCAATTAAAAATTGAATGAGAAAAAAAGAAATAATTATAAAATTTTAAAAAATAACAAAATGATTACCTAATTTTCTGCAAACTTTTAAAAATTTTGATATTGTATAATAAAAATTAAAAAAATGTCTATTCATAATTCACAAATAATTACAATTTTTAATTAATTTTATACAAAATTTATGCATACACGATTTCACGTTAAAGTTTTAGTCATACTGATACTATTAATTCATAATCAAATAATTATTTTTAAATTATTCTTCAAAAAATAATTTTGCGAATATTATGTAATTAAAATCTACATTATTTTTATTATAGGTTTACCTTAAAAATTTTCTCATAGCCTATCATTTTATAATTTTGCGTATTCTTAAATGAATAATTCATCCGGAAATACGATATATACTGAGGTAGCAGCTTTTAACGTAGACGATAGATTAAGAAGAATGGAACCTGTAAAGAAATCAAGACAATATTTAGTTGGTGTTATAGGTAAATTTAAAATTAGATTTAGTAGATTTAAAATTATTCAAAATTATCAAAATTAATTAATTTTTAGCTAACTTATCTAGTGTGGCTGTAGGAACATGTTTAGGTTGGACATCGCCAGTTGGACCAAAATTAGAAAATAAAGATCAAACCCCATTACCCGATATGTTACCATCAGATTCATCTGAATCAGCTTGGATATCATCTATAATTGCTATTGGAGCTTTAATTGGTAATATTTTTATTCAAATAACTGAACATATAAGTAAACATATGCATATACGAATCTATAATAATACTAAAATTTTGTATAATAATTTAGTTTTATAATTTTAACTGGTTTAAATGATAATTTTTTGTTTGTATTTTAGCTCCATTTGGCGCTGGTATTCTAACTGATAAAATTGGAAGAAAATGGACTTTACTTTCCAGTATTATATTTTTCATAGCAGCTTATATCATGTTAATGGTAAATGGATCACCCGAAATTTTAATTGGAGCAAGATTTGTTCAGGTAATTTATAACAAATTTGTAATTTTATTATACAAGTTATATAAATTTTAATTAATTAATATGACAAAATTTTTATGCGTATAGGGCTTAGGTGTAGGTGTTGTAATGACAGCTCAACCAATGTATGTAGGAGAGATTTCAACAGATGATTGTAGAGGCGCATTAGGTTCATTTATGCAACTTTTTATTGTTTGTAAGTTTTGAAAAATTTTAAATAACTTTTTCATTCTTCCCGCATTCAATTAAATTTGTCCATAAAATTGCATTAAAAAAATTTTTAATATTTTTATCTTTTATATCAAATAGCTGGAATTTTATATGTTTATGCTATTGGTCCATATGTTTCATATATGGCTTTACAATGGGCTTGTATTGTAGTACCAGTTATTTTTGCTGGTGCATTTTTCTTTATGCCAGAAAGTCCTTACTATTACATTCAAAAGGGAAAGAAAAGAGAAGCAATTAATGCTTTAAAATTCCTTCGTGGACAATCAGATGAAGGTGTTGCTACAGAAATGGCTGAAATTCAAACAAGTGTAGAAGAATCAATGAAAACAAAAGGTTCTGTTATAGATTTATTTAAAAATGTTGGAAATAGAAAAGCTTTAATAATAAGTGCTGGTTTAATTGCATTCCAACAACTTTCTGGTATTAATGTTGTATTATTTAATGCACAAACAATTTTCCAAGATGCTAATACTGGTCTTGAACCAGCTGTTGCAACTATTTTAATTGGTGTTGTACAAGTTGTTTCTAGTGGTATAACACCATTAATTGCTGATCGATTGGGTAGAAAACCAATTCTTTTAGTATCTGGTATTGTTATGTCAATTGGATTGGTAACATTAGGTGCATTTTTCTATATTAAATCAACTGGAGATGATGTTTCAACAATTGGTTGGTTACCAGTAACAGCATTAATTGTTTATAATATCGTTTATTGTACTGGATTTGGTCCATTACCATGGGCTGTATTAGGTGAAATGTTTCCTGGTAATGTTAAAGGAATTGCTTCATCATTAGTTGCTTCAACATGTTGGATATTAGGATTTTTAGTAACATTTACTTATCCATCATTGAAAGTTTTAGGACCGCATGTTGCTTTCTTCTTATATGGTGGATTTTGTGTAGCAGCATTCTTATTTGTTCTATTTATAGTTATGGAAACTAAAGGATTAAGTTTACAACAAATTCAAGATAAACTTAATGGAAAATAAAATTTTAAGAATGTTTATGTGTTAAATTGAGTAAAATAAAAATTATAATTATAATTTACATAAGAATTTTATGTAAAATTTAATGTTATTTAATTTCTTAATATCTAAGATTTAATTTAAATTATATAATTTATCATTATCGTTAAGATAATTTTATTTTTTAATTTACATTATTCATTAAATTATCAGTTTCCTATATAATAATTATAATTGCAATAAAAGAATTTTTAAACTCATATTTAGCAATTTATTTTACTAATTTCTTAAGTTTTTTTCTCTAATATTAATAATAAGATTCCAAATTACTTAAATATGGGAAGGAAATATAGTTACATATAAGTTCTATAGCTGATTTGGATTTAACAAGCTCTAGAGATCAAGATTTTATAAGCTCTAGAGGAATTTGGATTGTAAAAAATCTATATGAAGCAACCTCTACTTGAATTTTTAATGTAATGTTCACGATAAACAGAATATTCACTTCAATTAGTCCTTCAAAAAATCTAGTAACTTTTAAGACGTTGACAATGTAAAAGTTCCCCTAAAGTAATTTTGCAAATTTCTTCTATAATTTTTTTGCACATAAATGAAATTTGCATATTTTTAGGTAAGTACCATTCTTGAATAACTATTTTATTAATTTTGTAAAAGAATTTTAAATTCTTGAATAACTTTTTCAGTGCCTTTACTCTTAAAGATCACAAACATGATTGAAAAAATTTAAATTTGTGGACAATATGCTTCAAAATCAAGATTTTTTATAGTACAAGCAAAAATTATACATAGAGATTTCTTTTTGATTAACATTAATTTAAGAATATTATAAAGGCTTTGCAAAAATTTATTCGAAAATTAAATTTTTAGTAGTTAAGAGCCGAAAATATCAAAATATTAACAAAAAATTTCGGGTCAACTATTTCAGTTTGCACTGAAACCAAAACTAATTTCACATACAATTACTTTGTATTTGGGCATCTTTAAAAATAAAATGCATTTATTTAAAGGCTAATCGTGTATCTCACTTTTACATCTCACCTTTTATTCACTTTCAAATCACTTTCTTTTCACTTGTTGGATAAAATAGTGAGATAGACAATCAGTCTGTCAATTTTGCCTGCTATGTGCCATAGCTTTATTCTAATAAATCTTATGTGTCAATCAACACCATCTACGAATTTTTTGAATTTGGAAAATTGTGATTTTAGTTTTTCTGTTGTTTTTGCTAATCTTGCTTTCTAATTAACAGACCAAATACAAAAAAATTGATTTTACTTTTACAAAATCCCATATATAAACAGAAATAAATTTTATTATTTTTCAGTAAAAAGAAAAATTTTCAAATATTTATTAAACATTATTCTCGAACCGAGGCCTCGCACCCAACAAATCTGTAAACCGAATTGAGCCTTATTTAAATTGACTATACGTTAAAGGATCACGAATAAATTGTAATACTCTAGTTCGTAAATGTGAAAATCATAATAGTAAACAAAATTTATTGAATGAAAATTCAATGACATATTGAATAAATAGAATTAAGATTATAATTTGGTAAAAAACCTGATAATATTCGCTAATATTAAAATGCAATTTAATTGATAATAAAAGTTTCCATTTACTAGTTCCCCACAAATGTGATTTAAAGCAAAACTAACAATATTCCCAAAATTAATCAAATCTTATTAATTTTGATAACATAATTATAATAAAATTTATATAGGCACCCCAAAAATATCAGTAGTTTTCATTAGATTTTAAATATATTTTATTGTAGATATAGAAGAATAATCTTATCTTAAATATTATATGTCCCGTCACCCTAGTCTTGCTTTGTTTCACCCGCCAGTTTTGTCATTTTAAAGTTATGCATTCTATTTTAGGTTTTACGGGATGCCTAATCGTATACTCGAATTGAATTTGGAATAAGTGTTATAGTTTTCGAAATATTTAGTATCGAGTCTACTGTACGTAAAATTTCGATTTAATTTTTAATTATTGGAATGCCCCACATCATTGGCATTTATATATGAATAGGGTATTTTCTTTTTCAATATAGTTTTGATTTGCGTGTATAACAATTTTATTCTCACGTGTATAACAATTCTGCTGTACACATGGACTATTTCAAGATCAAATTTTTAAAATATGTATTTGGTCCATGTTGTTGTAAAAAGAACAAAAAAAAAAATCATTGCAAATTATTATAAGACGAAACATGTTATGCAGCTGGTTTTCGAACTTCGTCTAGAAAACGTTAATGAGCACCATGTGGTTGCCGTGTGATATGTAGAGTATACGTGTAATATGTAGAGTCGGACTCGCTTATAAGCATTTCCAAAGAATGTATGAATTTTCATTGCTTATATATGATTTTTCTTATAACCAAATACTCGATTTTAAGCACAAATTTTGCTTATAACCGAATTAAAAGTTTTGCCCCTACGTACAGCTTTATCTCATAAATTTTTTAAAACTTCAGGGAATTTTGAAGAATTATTAAAAATTTTTGGAAAATAATTTTATAGGACAGTTTTTATGTAATAAAGTTCCAAACTCTGACTTCATTTTTCTCAAAAAGTAATAAATGGCGGGTGGTCAAAAATAAGATTGGGGCGATGATGTATGTATAACATATTCATGTTTAGTATACGATATAATAGACTCCTTATAGTTATCATCTTCAAATTGTCCAAATTTTGATTTTTATTTTAATTATTGTTATATTATTTTTTTGATAACGCACTTCAAATGGGGATTAATAACATTAAAAATTTATTAAGCCAACAGGTAAAAATTTATAATTTTTTTTTTAATAAATAGTTAATTTATATTTGATCGCGGATCTAAATAGACCTTAAAAATAAATAATAAAAAAATTAGCTAGATCTTATATACTACGCGCATATGTAAAACACAAACGAATTTACAAAAATTTTTCAATGACCTCAAATAATTCAACTGAATATACAAGTGTAACAACAACATCTCATATGGATCAACAAAGAGTAGAGCCTATAAAAACATATAGACAAATTATAACAGGAAAAATTGGTAAATTTTTTTTTTTTTATTATATGGGAATAAAAAAAAATACATATTTCTTATATAATATTACAGCAAATTTATCAAGTTTTGCTGTTGGAACTTGTATTGGCTGGACATCACCAATATTTCCTAAATTAGAAAAACCTGATGAAACACTATTAAGTCATGTTATAAAAAGTTCGTCAGAAGAAGCAGCATGGATTGGATCTTTATTAACTGTTGGTGCATTAGTTGGTATGTTTTATAATTTTCTTAGAATTTTTTATTAAGTCTAGTGTTTTATAAGGGGTTAGTGTCAGTGTAAGTGTCACAATGTAAATGATACTATTGTGAATTTTATATTTTATTAGAGGAGATTTTTGTTTTGTACAACATTAAGTAGAATTTTTTGTTTTTATAATGACAATATTGAAGGTATATGTGTAAGTTTCACAAATTAGTGTGATAAAAACTCAATAACCAGAATTGTGTTCTTCACTGATAAAGCTACAAAAATTCGTGTATTTTTGAAAATATTCTAAAATTATTTTTAAGTGAAATGTAAAAATAAACAACAATTGTTTATTTTTTGAAACATTTGTTGATTATCTTGTGATATTGTTGAAGATCATATAGAATATTCCTTCGATTCTTATAATTCATTTCTAAAATGCACAAGTTCATAATAATATTTAAGAAGCCATAAAATAAAAATTAATGATACTAATAATATGGGGCTAAAATTAATAAGATTTTCATAAGCTCTTATAGATATATACAGAAAAGTATACTAAATAGAGAAGTCAATAAAATTGTAATAAAATTCTTATATTATAGCTATACCCACCATATACAATAAAATTATTATAAATATTAAAGAATTATAAAATTTAATTTGTTATATTATTAATTTGAACAAAATCCACTTGAAAAATATTCATTTAACAATTTAATTATTATCTATTTTAACTAATTTTCACATTTATATCTTAAGTAGTTTGAATTTTTGTTTTTTCTCTACCTTAAATTTGATTTATTTACAAAAATAAAATTTAAGTACACACAATTAAATAAATTCCTTTTATTATCAATTATAAATTACATAATATGAAATTATATACCAATAGCTATATAGGATTCAGTAAATAAGTGAAATGATAATTTTTTGGGTTTTTTTTTGTATTGTGGTAGTAGTATAGCAGTTTTTGGTTTTTACTAAATTCTTATGCTGGATTTTCTTTTCTTATAAATTGAGTTTCTAAAACTTATTTGAAAAGGTCATCGAAATTAAATTAAAAATTTGAAAAAAATTATGAATTTATGGCCAGTGTCTATACACATAAAATGGAGTAAAATATCAAATTAAAAATATTTTTAGTAAATGTGAGAAAAATTATAATTCTAAAATTTTAGATAATATTATTATTCATTAGCATAAGATATTGAATAAATTTAATTACTGAATAAATTTAATAAACACCTATATTAGTGTTTAATTATACTTCGTTATACTACTTATATACGATGTTCACATTCCATTACTGCGACAACAGTATAGTGTGAGCTATGCGATGCATCACAGAAGTATTTTTATTGCAATTTATGTTTAAATTGATATAACAGTAACAGTTAATATATATAATGTTAATATTTTTTCTCACTATATATACTAGATTTGGTTTAATACTTTACAAGTCCAATAAATTTATTTATATGTAATCTAAATACTGTTAAAATCACAGGTGGAGCATTAATATAGCTATAACCGGATACAGTAATATTATTACATCAAATAATATTTTTCCATTTTGTTGAAAAATGTTGCTCTCGCAGTGTCACAGTAATATGTGGAACAGTATAATAAGTTATAAAATATTGGTGTAAATTATTAGTAATATTGTGGTAATTTTTTTTTTATTTTTGTAGTGCGTCGTCACCTACATATACAAAAATTTTTTCGTTAACAATTTTTCATTTAATTAAGACTCAAGTATTTCTGTGGGAAGTTAATCATTAAAAATAAATTTTCAATAATTTTGAAGAACAGAAATTCCATTTTTCTAATTTCGATTAATTTTTAAGTTTTTGTAAGTAATTGTATTAATAAAATAGTACCAAATAGTATCAGATAAATTGTACTTAATATAAAGTGGTTACAAAAATTTTATTATTGTCATAACAAATAATTTTTGTTTTACAATTTCGCAAAAAATTTTAAATCATTTTTCTTATCATTTTTCCATTGTTTATAATAAAAAAAAATTTTGTCTGATATTTGTACTTTGATTATCAAAAATCCAAAATAATATTAGATTATAGCCACTGTCAAAAAGTGTAATTCACGTGATAAGAATCGCACATGATAATAAAATTTTTACTTTCAATGTCGTGATTACGATTATAAAAGTATTTTATTTGTCGTTCTGGTAAATAAATACCTTAATGTTGTTGAGTTTTGTTGACTATCAAAATTATGTATGAAATAGTAATATTTATTAGCATAGCATTATGTAGAATTCAAGTTTTTTTCTCTTTTAAGAGAAACTTTTCTCTTTTGTTTATATTTGCTTGTGCTAAGTATTATTATAACAATTATTATTTTTTTTTTTTCTCATTTTAGCACCATTTGTAGCTGGACCATTGGCTGATAGAATTGGTCGTAAATGGACATTATTAAGTAGTGCTATATTTTTTATTATTGCATATGTACTTCTTTTAATTGCTGGTGAAGTATGGGTTATGTATGTTGCAAGAATAATTCAGGTATATTCAATATTAAAAATAAGAATAATTTAAATTTAAAATAAATTTTTAATAATATGAATTTAAGGGTTTTGGTATTGGTTTTGTAATGACAGCTCAACCAATGTATATTGGTGAAATTTCATCAGATGAATATAGAGGAGCTTTAGGATCATTTATGCAATTATATTTAGTGGGTACGTTTGCAATTTATTTTATTTTTTAATTAAAAAATTTATAAAAATTTTCAAAATAATTTTTCATTTTTATTTTTTATGCACTATATGTAGTTGGAGTTTTATATGTTTATGCTATTGGACCATTCGTTTCATATGCAGCTTTACAATGGTGTTGTCTAGTAATACCAATAATATTTGCAATCGGTTTCTTTTTTATGCCAGAAAGTCCACATCATTTTATAAATAAAGGAAGACATACAGATGCAAAAGTTGCATTAAAAAATTTACGTGGAAGAACAAGTATTGGTGTTGCACCAGAAATGAATAGTATTCGAACAACTCTTGAAGAAAATAACAGAGAAAAAAAGAGTCTAGCTGATTTATTTAAAAATAGAGGAAATATCAAAGCATTAGTCATTTGTGTTGGTTTAATTGTATTTCAACAATTGTCCGGTATTAATGTTGTTCTATTTAATGCACAAACAATATTTGAAGATGCAAATACAGGACTTGATCCAGCAATATCAACTATTTTAATTGGAGTTGTACAAGTTGTTGCATGCGGTTTAACACCATTAATTGTTGAAAGATTAGGAAGAAAACCAATTCTTGCTGTTTCATGTGTTGTAATGACAATCACTTTAATATTAATGGGTGTTTATTTTTATTTAAAAAATAGAGGTGATGATATTTCAAATATTGCATGGCTTCCAGTTGCATCACTTCTAATTTATATGTTATTATATTGTCTTGGTTTGGGTCCATTACCTTGGGCTATTACCGGTGAAATGTTTTCAAGTGATATTAAATCAGTTGCATCACCAATTGTTGCTTCAGTTTGTTGGACATTAGGATTTCTTACAACAAGATTTTATCCAAATTTAAATTCATTAGGACCACATGTTGCATTTTTCTTATTTGGAGGATGTACAGCACTTGGTTTCTTATTTACACTTTTTGTTGTTTTAGAAACTAAAGGTTTAAGTTTACAAGAAATTCAAATAAAATTAAATAAGTAAATAGAGAGTAAGTATAGTGAATATATTATGTATGTGTATGTATAATGTATGTTTGTACAAAAATTGTAGAATGAATTTAAAATAAATTCTTTATACTTTTTTAATATTAAAATAATGTTTTAAATCAGAACTTAATAATAGTTATTTGCATCTTAATCTATGGTAAATTTCATAATAAGTCGTAAATCCAGATCAAAAATCCAGATCGTCTTCGATATTGCATAGAAAATATTCTTTACCAATTACCAGAAATTAGTTTGAATAGAATGTAGTTCTACATACATATACATAAAATTGTTATATATAAGAACTTACAATTTTTGCGTCCCACGAAATTTCTGGTAAAATCATGTTACCCGTTCTCTCACCCGTTTTTTTCACTAATAAGTAAAATTTTAAGTGAAAATCACATGCTCTAAAAATTGTGTGTCTTGCCGGAAGATTTTTTTCCAGAATGCCTAACGCTTCTTGAAACGCTCGAAAGTCAAAATTCAAATTACGAAAAAATTGCAATTGAGGCAATAAAAAAAAATCAAAGAAATCATACAGAATTATTCATACATGCAATAAATAAAAATAGAAATATTACAATAAATAAAAATCTTGAAGTTTTAATATATAAGAGACATCTACATTTTTAATTAAATACATTTATCGTAAATTGTAATGAAATTACAATAACTAGATGACTCTGTCCCGTATAGAAAAGTTATATTAAATTAAATTTTTATTTTTATACTTTTTCCATTTAATAGATGACTCTGTTAATGGTATCAAATTTTAAATTTTTAAAAATATTTGCATTTCAAAGTATAAGTAGTAATAAAAATTGTATAAATATAAATAAATAGGAATAAACTATTCAAATAACATTGAAACTACGAAAAGAAGTCTGAAAATTTGTTAAAAAATTTAATTATGTTCCTTTAAAAAAAAAAAAAAAAATTATCAAATTATATAAATTAACTAGTGTTTCATATTTCAGCCACCAGAAATTTTGTAATTTTATTATTAGTTGAAATTCTACTCAAAGGAGGCAGCACTATAGGAAAATTGAATTTTTATATTAAATGAGAAATTCTTCAGTGCCTCTACTCTCTTCTCTCTTACGAACATAGTGCGATGCGAGTGGCATATTAATTAGTAAATTATTTATTTTTATTTTTTTTATTAAATACTCATAAATTCACTCGAATTCAAAATTGTAGCAACATTTTGATTTACCTTACTATAATTACACTATTCGATAATTTATTTAATATTCATAAACTGAGTGTTTTATTATGTTTTATATTAATACATAACTACTCAATATTTTGAAGTTAGAGTTTCACAATACACAATACACTCATAATGGTATGTTAATGATTATTTTAAGGTAAGTTAAAGGTGGTTTGGTTGTTTTTATTAAGAATGCTAAGAATCTCAAAATAAATTGCTATTAACTATCTTTTAATATTAAAGCTATTTGAATATTTTTCTTAATTTTAATTGAATTATTGAACGAATTTTATTCAATTTCTTAGTACATGATTTGTTTAGGTGCGAGATTAAGTAGGGCAGTCATAACCAACGAGAAATATATTAATTTTATTGGATCTTTTTTTGTGATTTAATATATGTAACGTATGTAAGTATGTCTAAATTATTGAAATATTCTATATGGTCTTTTAAAATTCAAATTTATTATAAATTATAACAAATAGTTTTAAATATTAAAATCCCATTAAAAAATCGTGTGTTTAGGACTTGGTTTAGTACAACTCCTTTTTTCACATTTCAAATACCTATTACCTGGTCCACGATCTTGCAGATAACCGTGAACTAGTTTCTTACGTCATTGAGTTTACTAGTTAGGTGACGAGCCTACCGTCCACTAGGTATGCACATATATGTATGTAATAAAATTTTAGCTTAAACCTAGATTTTTATATTTTTTTTTTGCAATAATATTAATTAGTAAACAAAGAAGACAAAGAACAAGATGATAGAAAAAATAAAAATTTTATTTGTAGCAAAAAAAAACAATAAAATAAAAAAATATCGGCGTTATGCCAGTTCAAAATAATGCTAACTGAAAAACAAAAAAACTCATTAAAAATTTGTCCTTAAAAAGCTACAAAACTCCATCAAAATGAGTGGCATCAAAATATGTGTCATAACATACACACATACAAAATGTTTTCCCAATTATTATTAAATACAAAATAAAATAGCGTCATTTTTCAAAAAAAAGAGGTCAAATGAAAAGCTCTTTTTTGTATAGCTTAAGTTTTTAAACCTTATATAAGCATATATAAAAATGTATGTACATCCAAATATATGAGTATAATTATTGTATACCTATTTAACTTATCTTTCATTTACACACACACACACATAAATATATTTTGCTAGCACCGTCCAAATAATAGAATGTTAGGATATCGCAGCTTGTTTATCAACTTCAAAACTTTAATATTTTTTTATTTCTATATTTGTGATGATGTTTTCGTTTATACAATATTCAAGCTCATACATACATACGTACGTGCATTTATGTATACCTAAATAATAAGCAGAAACGATAGTAGTAAGCATTTTTACATTTTAATAACAAAACTAATAAATAAGTAAAATGAGAGAATCAACAAAAAAAAATATTCATTTGGATTTTGAAGCAGGGGTACGTGAGACCATTAAAGAAGAAGGAATAAAAACAAAAATGTAAAAAAGAAAAAAATCAAAATTTGTTTTTATTTCTTTTCTTTGTTTATTTTATTTTTTTCATTTTTTTTTTTTTTTAATTCAAAATAACTGTAGTCAACAGCTGAGAAATATAAACAATCATAATAATATCATCAACACAATACACATACAATTCAATTTACTCCAACTCCATATTTATTATTTTGTATTTTATTAATAGCATGCATACATGAAAAATTTTTATAGTCACGCACACATTCTTATGTACAAATATGTGAACACATATATGATCAGATTTGCACACTTTCAAATACATAATGTATTTGATTAATATTATGCTGTATGCGTACTAACTATATATGACATTATAAAAGTATTTGTTATACTGTTATACATACAAAAATATAATGAATTCAAATCTTATATTTTTGAATTAGGGTGGGCATTCAAATAATATACTCGTACATTTAGACTTAAGGCTACTTTTATATTTATTCTCATTCTTAATTTATAATTTTAAAAATTTTTTTGAAAAAGAGATTGTATTAAAAAACTCCCACGACTTATTCGATATAGGAACAGGAGAATGGGACGTTCTGCTAATAATCACTGTAGGAACTGTGGTAACGAGGAAGAAAAGCAGTATGGTAGCTCATCTTCTGTGCTTGTTAACAACTTTGATACGGAGAAGGCAGAGGTTTCCTGGTTTTTAGCAATTCTTAATACGACTTACGGACCTGATGAATGTAAATGCCAGGGATTTAAAGCATTTTGTAACAAACTCGGTTAACGTGTAGGGTGGAGATGTGGAGATACAGCGGTATCACAACAGGCCTACCTGGTCTAAGTGTATCTTGAGATAGCCGTGTCAACCTAGCCTATTCTATATAATTTATAAGAAGTTAATTTCGGTAAGAAGAAGATTAAGAAGTGAAAATTCGGTACTTTTCAATAAATTAAGAAGTAAAAAAATTTTGGTAATTACTGAAAGAGAAGAGCATAAAATAATTTTTGTAGTGAATTAATATTCTTCCATTTAATGTTTAGAATTACAAGTCAAAAATAATTTTATTTATATTTTTGGGAAAGGGAAGGGGGTGGGGGGGAAAGAATTTGCTTGAAGTTATAAAATAAAATTTCTGTATTTAAAATTTATCGTTTAAGAGAAACATTAAATTTATAAAAATGTTACCAACATTTTTATATTATGTAAAAAATTGTAATGTTAGTAAAGAGTTAGCATATAAAGTTGGCATACATAGTTAGGATTTCTAACCTGACTATTAATTACTTATTTCTAATTAATTAGTAATTACGTATATTTACGAAATAATTATCGTATAAGTTTAAATTTAGAAAATATTTTCAGTTGCAATAACAGCTTTTACCTAAACGAAGTCAAGGTCTGACTAAGTCAAGAAATGACTAAGACACTACAATTAAAAATAATCTTATATAAGAAAACTCTTAGAGATCGTTTTGAATACTTTAATTAGATTCGAAGAAATAATATCTTTGTCCAATGAAATTTTCACGTTAGAAAATAATATAAGAATATTCAATACATAATATGTATATCAAAGAAACCGAGTTCAACAACTGTGTTATCCTTACTATATTAGGTCAAGCTTGTAACATATAATTTGAAGATTTTGAAATACAGGTTCATACAGGAGTGCATTTCAGATTCGCACCAGATTTAATGCTACACCAGATTAATGATTATTAACTCAATTGCTATGATTTTATTTCGTATACGATATACATTTATATAAAAGTGTGTGTGTACTACGTACATACGTATGTAATGCCGTAAAAGATAAAAGAATATTGCTATAATTAACAACTTCATTTTTTTTACCAATACTGAATTCGAATAATAAAATTATTTGAAATACTATTCTTAATTTCTTCTCAAATAACTAACAAACATTTAATTTCAAAATAAGAAAATGTTTATAAGAAAAAATCTACAATTATTTTTTACTTATTCAAAAATCACTTTGCTCTACAACACAAAAAAACAAAAAAAAAAACAAAACAAACACAAACATTTTAATAGGGAAATTTTCTTTGTTTGGATTTTGGAAAACAAAACAAAGACGTAAAATAACAAAAACAACATAAACCGGTTTCTCGCAGCTGTTTTAGAATGTGTTTGTGTACGTGTTACATTTACATGAATTCTCAAAAGCCATTCATTATATTATATGAACGCAAATAATACAATAAAAATAAATCTACGCCATTATTTTTTATTTTATACTCTCAATCTCACCTTTATCTTAAACGAAATATAATATGAATGTGTTTGTTCTTTGCTATACACAATACTTATGCTAAATTTGTTCCTCTTCAATAAGCCTTGACATTAAGAGAGAGAATAAAGAAGTAGAGCAACAAATTTTAAAAATAAATTGAGAAAAAAATATGAATATTATTTTACTGTTCTCTTTCTTATCTCTTGAAAAATCATAATTTTATCATATTTTGCTGCAACAAGGGACTTTGATAAAAATGCGAGTTATTCATTTATATTTACGAAAATTCTTCTCAAACTATGTTTGAAACAAAAAAAAAAATCAATTTTAAAATAATAGAACAATGAACACAACAATTAACAAAATTTTATACAGGTGTCAGCAACTGACTGTAAAATTGTTACATAAAAACAATACGGGAATTGTCATTCAATTTAAAAGACCAGGTTCGTACTCTTTTTTTTCAAAACTGCTAAATTAGAATGCTTATCCAAAGTGTCATATATCTTGTAAAATTTATTCAACGCTCAGTCAAGAAGTTGTTACATTTCTATTATAAATAATTTTCAATTATTCTATAATACAGTTGCTTACCGATTTCCGTTTAAAACATGTATGAAATATATTTATTCAATTAAATGGTTTGAAGTAATTTGCACTTTAAACTTTTTCGATAAATTGGTATAACCAATGTTAAAATAATTTTACCACATATTTTATAAAACATTTCCATTTGGGCATCAAAAATATCAAAATATATATGTACATATACACAAATTCATCTACATTGTTGCACATATCTCGATGTTGTCAACGTCTCAAACCACCGATATAGACAAAACAAACTCTCTCTTTTCAAGTAATCTCATTTTAATAATTTTTGTTTTTTATTTTTATTTTGAACACAGTTCGGTAAAAAGATTTCATTATTATGATAACAAAAATACAAAAAAATTAAAAAATCTTAAAAATTTTTTAATCAAACCTCGTATATTAGAACAGGAAAGCAGAAAATATTAAGAAATATTAATGAAAATTTCTTTGTATTATCATTATTATTATTAAAACTGTAAACAAACAATACCGTACATATGTATGGGTATAATAATATCGGTAATTTGAATTTAATATTTAATTACTAATACCATTGAAATTTTCAAGGCAATTCCATTAGTCAAAATTTTTTGTTAGAGTATTCTGTTACTTTATATGCTACAAAAAAAAACGTATTAGATATACTTAAGAATAATTTTGATGTACGAGTAGTTGTTATACTTGTTTGTATTTATTTCAATTATTTAATAATAATGTTAAATATATTTTGTAAATGTATAGGTTTGTTGCTCATTTTTTGTAATCTACAACTTATTTATGAATCGAGGACATGATATTAATTTTTTAATTTTTTGTTTTAGCCCACTGCCCACTATAGGTATATTATTTTGATTCTCTTTTATAATAAAATTTTATTATTACTTTACTCTCCAATTGGGAAAAAATACTCAAAAAATATAATAGTAAGCAGTGTTCCCACTTGGTAAAAACAAAATGTATCCAATTTCAAGGAAAAAATGTATCCAAAATGTATCCAACCTCATAAAGTAGAATTTTTATACCAAGCCGTCCTATTGTTGGTTTTTTTATAGTAAATTCTTTAAGAAATCACATACAACTTCTATTATACATATTTTAAATGTGAAAGTTAAGGTCAGAAAAAACATATGCATATATGCCTTCTATTGTAGTTGAACTATGTGCTAAAGACAATTCACCATTAAAACGGAAAAATTTTAAAAAATATGTACAGCCAATGCATTTTCTGTTACAACTAGCTTACTCCAAAATATTTCCGGTACGTTCTTGTCTAAATGTTCTAGATTTGAATACAGGAAGAGGCACTACTCATTTAATAAAGCAGATTTTTTACTTTCTTCTAGTAAACTCGGAAATCTGCTTAGAAAGGCCAGCAAATAACACTTTTCAAAGATAAAGCAATTTCGCGTTTTAATATTAGCAGCATTTTAACAGTTTTATAACATTTATTTAGTGTTTGAGAAATAAATGTATCCATATTTCAGCAAAATTTTGAAATGTTTTCAGCAAAATTTTGAAGCTTTGTATCCAAGCTAAATTTAAAGCAAAAAATGTATCCAAATGGATACAATTGTATCCAAGTGAGAACGCTGATAGTAAGGATTTGTTTTGTTTTCAAAATTTTTTTTTTGTTGTTGTAATAATATTTGATCATACAAAAATTTTATAATTTTTTTTTTTTTATTTTCTTGAATTAGCTCAAAAATTTTAATAAAATTATTAATTTTTAAGATAGGTAAATAATTTGTAATTGAACTTTTTACTTTTCTTAATTCCGCTTTGTTTGTATGGCTCTCTCAAACTGTCATATGCATATTGCACTCTTATCTTAGTGTATATACATTTTACTAATTCATTTACTAATTTATTTAATTGTATACATATTATGTATGTACATTAGTATATAATTAAATATACAAAATATGTATATACAATTGCAATATAACAACAATAATTTTTTTTTTCTCAAATATTTGGTCATTGATTTTTTCGATCTCATTTTTTAAACAATTTTTGGAGAATTTTCACAAATTTATTTCTCTATATTAAATAAAAAAATTTTATTCTCAATTCTCTTATGAATTGAGAAAACTATAGAAAAAATTGAAAGTATATAGTACTTTTTTATTTTAAATAAATTTTCTACCTATTTATGGCAACATAAATTATTTTTATTAGAAATAAAATTAGAATAGAAAAAATTTTTAAATTAGAATTTAAAAAATATTAAAATATTATTGTAATTTTTTAAACAAAATTTTATGCATTTCGGAGTAATTTCAAAAATTTTTTTATAACTGACCTCTTATAATTAATTCCCTTTAGGTATATTAATTCTCTCTTCTTATGCTCTCATAAAGTCCAACTTTTCCTTTTTTGTATTTTATCATTCTATTATTATTATACAAACATTATATTATTGTTATACTGTTGAAAACAATATTTTGTTGCATTATACAAATTGTATTATAATGTGTAGCTTTAAAAAATTGAGAATTCAGAGTAGGGAGGGATAATTTTTGAGAGATTATTTTGATATTTGTATTTGTTTTGTACGCAAAAGCAAAATTTGAGTAAATTTGTGTAAAAAGAAAAAAAAAAAAACAAAACAAAATATTGAAATATAAAATAAAATTCTCAATTTTCTCATAAATACAAACACTGTTTTGTATTTACAAAAAAAAAACTGTTATGATTACATGAAAAACAAAGAAAAAGATTTAACTCAAAAAAAAAAAAAAAGAAAACAAAAAGAGAAAAAATGAAAGAAAAAAATTGGATAAAATTGGGGAGAACAAAATGCAGGCGCACATTATGAATTTTTTTCTTTCATTTCTTTTTTTTTTTTGTTTTATCAAATAGGAATTTTTCTCTAGCTTTGTCTTGTTGTTGTTGTTATTGCTTTTTTATCAAAATATAAAGAAATACAAATTACTTTTTATATACTTTTCATTTTTATTATTTTTTTTATGTTATGCTCAATTTTTATTTTGCTCTTGTTTTTTTTTTCTTTGTATTCCACACAATATTCAATTTTTCAACATTTTTTCGGATAGTGAAAAAAAAATTCTGTTTACTTTTTCAGTCTTCGATAGTCGACTTTCGTGTTCAGACAGCAAGAAAAGCGAAAAGAAAAAGAAGAAGAAAAATAATTTACCAAACCTAATTTAATAATAATAAAAAAAAAAAAATAATAAAAATAATTTATGAAGTTTGGAAAATTTAAATATGATTGATTAAAAAAACAAAAAAAAAATTTTCAAATAATAAATAAATTTAGAAGAGAGAGAGAGAAAAAAAAAAGAGAAACAAAAAAATCTTTAATTAACAGGAATTTTTCCTGTTTGTTTGTTTTTTTATTTTCCTTTTGCAAAATTTCAAATAGCGGTATTTTTTGTTTATTTTCGTTTTTGGTTTCATTATTAAATAATAAACATTAATATAAAAATTAATATTAATTTAGTAATATTAAATTTTATAATATTTTCATTATAAAATAATAGAGAATTAAAATATAACAAAGAGAATGAGTGAGCTCTGTATGATTAATTCAAGAAAATTTCAAATTTATTAAAAGAAAATAATAGAAACAAAAATAACAAAAAAAAATTATTTTATATATGTATAATACTTATAAATTCGAAAATATTATACTGTTATTTGTGACAATACTGTTATTATAATTAATTTCTTTCACCTTCATTATATTGTTTATAAAATTCTAAATTAAAAGGAAAAAATTTTAATTAAAATATTTTTTTATTTTTTTTTTTTTATTTTTTTTTTAGATTTACTTATATTTCATTAAAAAATTTTGAAATTTCTTAAAATACAGTAATTTTTTTTAATAAATGAGAACAACACAAAAAAAAAATAAAAAAAATATTATAAATTTCTGTATGTAATTATGTATGTGTATGCACAAATAGAAATGTTAATATAATATAGAAATTTCATTATTAAATAAAGTTCAAAAGTAAAATTAATTATAATACAAAATAAAATTGAAAAAATTAAATAAGAAAGTATTTTGAACTTAAATTAAAAAAAAAAAAATAAAACAAATTTTTCTGATAGGTTCTTATTAATTTTTGGTTTTTTCATTTTTTCTTATTCAAATTAGTTATTTTTTTCTTACATAAATCTACTTACCCTATTTTATACTTACAATTTTTATATAAATCTATAAACAAATTCATTCAAAATATAATTTAAATAATTCCTAAATAAAGAAAGATTTAAAAACACTTATAAAACTTAAGTATAACAGTATTGAATAAATAAAATAAAATTTTAAGTGAATTTCGAAAAATATAATATTACAGATTTTAATTCTTAATACAAAAAACCAAAATTCAATATTATGCAAACGAATAAAAAAATATCATAAAAAAAATTTAAATTAATAAACTGTTATATATATATAATATAATATTGAAAATAATAAGTGATATTAGCAAATAATAAATAAGTTATAAAAATAAAAAAATAAAATATTTAATCGAAAATATTACAAATTGTTATTATAAAAACAATAAAAAAATAAATAATTGAGTGCACAATTTAAAAAAAAAGAACACTTGTTATCTTTTTTTTTTTTAATTTTTCGGTGTTATATTTAATAATAAGCATAATTATACTAAATAATTAGAACATTTATTGTGAAATATTGCATAAGAAACAATATATGATTATTTTCCAATAAAAAATTTATTTAAAAATTTCGAATTTAATTTAATTTTTATAGTATTTATTTTCATAATATTTTAATATTAATTTCATAATAATAAAAAAATTATATTTATTATGGAGACCGGTTTTATTTCTAATACATATTTTAAAATTATTATTAAAATTTTATTAATTAAATTTAATAAATTATTCTCATACAAATGTAAACCATAAATTAGCCGGTAATATACTGACATATTGGGCTCTCACTTTAAAAAAACAATAAAACTAATTATATTTAAAATAACATTTAAAATAATAAATACTTTTATATATTTAATAAAGAAAAATTACAATTTAATTAATTAAATCGAATATTTATATTTAAAAAATAGCAAAAGTGCATGTCCTAATACTTAAAAATAAAAATAATTTACAATAATTATTAATTTTTGATGAAAGTATTCTAAAAAAAAATTTTTTATATTCAAATCATTTAAATTAATTTATTATTTTTTTATTTTAATTCAATTAAATTCAAAAATTTTTTTTTCAGAAAAAAAAAATTTTAATTTTAAACAATTTTAAAAAATTACAGAAATTTGCATATTTTATATTTTATTTTTATTTACTTATTTTTTTATATTTTAATAACCAAGTATATAATAGTTATATACAAATATAAATATTATAAAATTATTAAAAAAAAGTTAATTTAATTTTTTTTTTGTTACCGGCTTATAGCCATAGAAAATAATTTTTATATAGAAAAATTTTATACCACATTCACACACTCAATTACTAATAAAATTAAATATGATTTTAATTTAAATATAAAATATTATTTATTGTTATGTAAAATTTTTGTTAAATATTCTCATGTAATAATAATTAAATTAAATAAGAAAGAAATAAAAAGAAAATGTGAAAAATAAAATCAAATATAATATTATAAACATGACGTCATACACAGTTTTCATAAATAACAAAAGAAAATTTTTTTTGTTAATAAAAGTTTTTTTTTTTTTCTAAAACTTATTTGAATTAAAATAAAAGAAAAAAAAAAAGACAATTCTATTCCTATTTTTAATATTTTATCTATCTAAAATTCTTTATTTTTATTTTTAAGAAATTTAAAATTAAAAAAAAAAAATTTTTTTTTTTTTGTTTAAGAATTTTTCTATAAGAATATAAAGAAAATCAAGAGACAAGAAAGCAAAAAAAAAAAACAAAATGTCCTTGAAATTGTCAGAAACAATTTTACAAATTTAGCATATACATACATACATACATGGTATATATATATATATATATAAAATGTGTAATATATATTATGTGTAGGTTTGTGCATTATAATAAATTTATGTACATGAATATATATATAAATATATATGAGTATAACAAGTTGGTAGCGAAATGAATTCTTTTTTCTTTTAAAAAATTATTAATATATTTACTTAGATATTTATTTCACCTCTATCTAAAAGAAATTTTTCTTTTTTGTTTTTTTCAAATTTCAATCAATATAATTTTTTTTTTTTTTGTTATATAGTCATTATAGTACAATAAATGATATTAATAATTCAACAAAAAAAATGCTCTTAAGTGTAAGTTTTTTATAGGTGAATTTTATGATTTTTAACAATAAAATTGTTGAATTTAAAAATTTTTAACCTTCTTTCAAAATAAATTGATTTAGTAGTACAAATTCATATTTAATTTAATTTTGAAATGAAAATATATAAAATTATTTATTATATTTCGATTTCGATACTAAAAATGTAAATTTGATTATTAAAAAATTTGATAATACTTTGTTTTTTGAAATGGTTATAAAATTTGATATCGAAAATAAAACGATTAGTTGACACAAAGAGAGAACTTTGAACAACAATTTGAAAAATTACAATACAAAAGGTGATTAAGAGTACAATAGGAAAGTTGAAATTAAGAAATATATATGAAAATGTGTTGAAAATAAAATACTAATTTCTAATTGTGGTGAATTTTTCTTTAAATATTATAAGTGTACCCATACTAAAGTAATTATGGTAATCTAAAATAATTAATCATATTTTGATTCTATAAGGTTAAATTTCATTATCAATTTAAAATCTGCGAAATCAGAAAAAAAATTTTTTTTATTCAATTTTATAAATAAATTCATATATATAATTTTTGTAACCTATTCAAAAATCTTATATATGTATAAATAATATGTGTAAAGAATTATAATTATAGGTACATATTATGTACTAATTTGAAGGTCATATATAAATGGAAGGTACTGTTAAAGAAATTTTAAATTTTTTTTTGTCTTTTATAAGAAACTGTGCATAATGTGTATAAATTTTTAAAAAAATTAACTTTTTTCTTTTTACAAAATTATACATAAAATATACATATATATATATATACCAGTATGGGGAAGACCATTTAGAAAAAAATCCTTATATTCACACTATATATTTTTTATAATATTGTAAATTTTAATATTTTAAAAGTAAATAGTTCACCTTGAACCTTATATATCACACTATATACATATATTTTTTTTTTGAAAGTAATACTTTTATATATATATGAATATGTATTTACATATATTTATATATGTATGTACGCATGTACGTAAAGGTTATAATTATATATGTAGTTTAAAATAACTGTATAGTTTTTTTTTCATGTAGTTCAGTTTCTCTCACTCATCCTGATCCACTAAAAATTAATTCATTGTTATACTATCTACAGAGCTACACTCAAAAAAAAAAAATTAAAAAAAAATTTCAAAATTTAAAAAAAAAAATTAATTTTTTTTTTCTAAATAAAAAAAAATATTTTCTTTGTTTTTTCAAAAAAAAAAAATTTTAAAAATTATTAGAAAAAAAAATCAAAAGTGAAAATTATAATTAAGAATAAAAATAGAAAAAACTAATTAAAAGATGTTGAAAAAAAATTAATCAAAAGTGTAAAAGAGAAAAAAATTTTTTTTTTCAATTCTATAAAAAAAAATAAAAATATTAACGGTTTTGTCAATGAACAGTAAAGTGAAAAAATATTCAAAATTGATTCACATTCGAACTTTCAAAACAATTTAAAGTAAGTTGAATAAAAAAATTGTAATAAAGAAAGAAGGCAGGAGAACGATCTCAAACGTTCTACAAAAAAAAATCAAATTCAAATTCAGAAAAAAAAAAAATCAATGTTTCATCAAATCTTTCATTTTAGAAAATCAAAATCTTCGACAATGAGATACAAAGTATTTTGAGACACCGACCCGGTTATTTCACCAATTATTTTGTAGTCAAATTTCAAAAAAAAAAAATTCACCTTTTCGTTTTTTAATGATTTTTGCATACAAAAAAAAAAAAAAATAGCAAAAAAATATGATTAGAAAATTACATAAAAAAGTTGGCTTAATTTAAAAAAAAAATCATAATAGCAAAAAAAAAATAAAAATTAATTTGATTTGAAAAAAAAAAAATCAAAAATTATTTATTCTTACATAAAACACAAAAAAAAAAGAAAAAATAAAAAATCAAAAAATATTAAAAAAAAAAAAAATTTTTTTTCTTTTATTTATAAATTCATTCTCAAACAAAAAAAAAAAATTAAAAAAAATAAATAAGTTTTTCTTTTCTTAATTGTCTATAATATTTAATTATTATTGTTTTAATCACACGTGTTTGTTAATCAATATTTTTAAATAAAATTCTCTTTATAATTTCTTATTATTATTATTATATAATTTCAAATTGTATAATGTCAACTGGTAGGCGTCTAGCAAAACGATCTATCATTGGCACTAGAGTTTGTGCACAGGGACCAGACGGTCTCTGGTATTCTGGTGTTATACAGGACGTTCGTACACCACCAAATAAAAATCAACAAAGTGAAAATAATAATTGTATTAATTTAACATCTGAAACAAGATATTCAGTACGTTTTGATTTTAAAACAGTACAAATGCAAATGCAATCATCATCAGATATAATAATGGATGGTGGTATTAAAAATGGTGCTGTAACATATATTATTAATAACAATAATAGTAATAACAATAATAATAATAATAATAATACAAATAATAGTATAAATAATAATAATACTCAACAAATGCAACAACAACAACAACAACAACAGCAACAACAACAAAATAATATTTGTTATACAACATCATCATCAATATCAACTACATCATCATCAACACCATCAACAATATCATCATCAAATTCATTATCAAATTATGATTCAAATATGATGGATACAGATCAAAATTGTGAACAACAAAATGATCATATTATTAATGAAATATCACATCAACAACAACAACAACAACAACAACATCATTTACAACAGCAACAACAACAACAACAACAAATTATTGTTACACAACAACAACATATTCAGCAACAACACCAACAACATCAACAACATGTTAATTTACTTATAAATCCAATACAAACAATAAGACGTAATGCACTTATTAAAGAATTTCGTGAATCAGAATTAATTGGACCTGGATTTAGATCAATAATGGGTGTACAATTATTACCTGGACAAAAAGTATTTTTAACACATAACGGTCGTGAAACATCCGGTGATATTATAAGTCATGATTTACAAAAAGATGATGTAATTGTACGCATTACTACAATTGGTGTTGAGGTAAGCTTTCCTTTTTTTTTTTGTTTATTACTTATACTCTTTACTTATTCTCGTTTTTTTTACTAAATAATTATATTTCATTTACATTTTTTTTTTCAATATTTTATAATACCTATAAACCATATTTATATATATATGTAACTGAAAAAAAACGAAAACAAAAAAAATTTTATGTTGTACAGCATTTAAGCTTGTATAACTACAATTTAAGTACACATGTTTGTTTAAATATATACTAAAGTTTGTTGTATATATATATAAAAAGAAAACAAGAAAAAAAAAATTCAACATTTTAATGACCTATTTAATATTTTTGAAGAAGTTATAAGATACATTTACCTACATTCATTTATTATTAATATATGAACACAACCATATTATACCTTACATACGTACGTGAATATATATGTAGGATTATGTTATACGTTAAAATATATACTATTATTGTATATAAGTAAATGTACTTGATTGTAGCATAATTTTTTGTTTTGTATTTCATACAAGTACGAAATGGAGGATAGGAACGGGGAAATATAAATTTTATGTGTATAAGGTTAGGTAACATTCTTTCATGTATGAATTTTGGAATTTAAATTTCTTTTTTGTTTTTCTTTTGCAATTTTATATAGTTATACTATTTTTTTTTTTTTCTGTTAAGTTTTAATTTGCAAAATTTATATTTTTTATATTGCGAGTATATTTAAATTTTATGTATACAATGAGTAAGTTTATGTTGATTTATTTCAACATAAATAATTTAATGATGAAAGAAAGTTGATTTTAAATAATAATTTTTTATTTAATTTTCTCATATATACCGTATTTATTCGTTTGTTTACTACATTTTCGTATATATACATATATACATTTCTTAGATATAGTTGCGTTTATGATAAGATGTTTTAATATATTGATTTATTAACAATATATATATAATTGTGTATGGCTGAATCTTAGGGGTAGAAAACACATTATTATTATGTATAATAATATAATTCAATTTTTTCAAATTATACGTTCACAATATTTTAACGTAAACTTTTAGTTAGGGCTCAAACCAATTTAACATCAAAATTACGTATGCATAGATCTTATATTCCAACATCTTTTTTGTTCGTTTTTTTTTTTTTTTAACCGGGCCGGTCGAATTTTTTTCGCGCAAAAGAGAATTCAAATTACGAATATTTTATACTAAACTTGTAAAAGATTGGATTAGAAAATAATAATAGATATAAAAATTAGAGTTAGAAAATTGCCGATAGATATAAAAATTTGCCAATATAAATTTAGACATCTAAACATATTTAACATTTATTTTGCATATCCCTTGTTACCCTTAAGTGTGTATATTCTGGTCTCTTTTTGGAAATTTGTATATTCTGGTCTCTTTGGAATTTTTATATGTTTTCATATTTAATATATATACTCTTTGCTTTAAATGGAACTCAAAATGTAGGCTAGTGTATAGGCTAGTTGGTGTGAACATAGAAGTCTTATACAACTGATGTGTTATACACTTGAAGTATTAAATAGCAGTATATTACAATAAAATGAAATATATTACAATAAAATAGTATACTTGTATAATATATTTTGGAATTTGTAGAATAGCTATATTAAAATTTAATTCACGTTTATTTTTAATTAACATTGGTGACTGTAATGACTATTTTGTATCTTAGTATAAAATATTTGAGCATCTTATACCTATTAAAATAAGTATATGCCGTAATCATTCTAATATGATTGTTTATAAGTCGCACAATACTGTTGGGCAAAAATAGTATAGCGTATACAAAATATTCCATTTTTTTTTATAAATTCACTTAAAATCAAAATAAATTTTAGTATATGAGTTTTAGTTTACATTTTCTAAACTAAACGTATTGGTTTCATATACTTATATATACATACCAAAACCAAAAATATGTGGCGTATGTCCTTTTGGTTTTTTTTTTTATTTATTTTCATAGAACATTATAGAGAAGAGCTTTTCCCCTCTTTTCATGTTTTCTCATCCTCCTTTTTTTTTTTGTTTTTTATTTTTACTATACTTGTATACTTTTATTCCTCCTACTCAATTTTCTTTTATATAAAAATACAATAATAAAAGCAGCATAGTTAATATCCTTTTAATTTTCTTTTACTAAAGAAAACATTTGTAATTTTTTCTTTGTTACTTTTTGATTTTTTTATTTTCGTGTATACCAAGTGTTTTTGTTCTTTTTGAACCTAACTCATCCTTTTTTCGTTAACTTATACTTTATAAAATTTTTTGTTTCTTGTATTCTCTTTCATTCATAAATTTAGAATATTTTCAAAAAGTGTGTATAACAGTTTGATGACTTAACATTTTACCATTCTCTTATCAATTTATACAAAATTTCTATTTCTAAAATTAGTTCAAATACAAAAATTTTATCTGAATGTCGAACACAAAAAAAAAAAGAAAAAAAAAATAGAAATAAAATAAACAAATAAATGAAAATAATATTTATTTATATTTTAAAGTAAATAATGTATGTAATACTGTTAAATTTTGAATATTTATGTATATTTGCCAATTTTTTATTCACAAAAAGATTTCCTACACGTATTCATTGTATATATGATTGTGAAAATAATATAAGCACACCATACATTTTTATATAATTGAGATTGTATGTTATAATACAAATATAAGTAAGGATATACAAAAAGGATATACACAAAATAAAATAGTATCCCATATAGAATAATTTATACCCCAGCTTTTGTTCTTAATTTTTCAAATATTTCCAATTGTGAGGGTTTTTGTGTGTATAAAGTAATATAATGTACTACGTATTTGAAAATAGACCTTATTGCAAACAAAACAATAATTGAATAAATGCGTTGTTTGTAAAATATTTTTGATGCTTTTGATAAAAAAAATAAGTGTATTTTTGAACTCTTTTGATTTTTTCAGAATTGAAAAATGCCAAGATGAAATAAGGATAAAATGTATGTGTATAAGTTTTTTTTTATAAAATGCGTAATATTGACGACGCTAAAATTGTGACGTATTCAATTTTTTGCGTTTATTGACTTCTGTTAATTTGTTTTTGTTTTCGTTTTTGCATAAAAAATTATATAATTAATAAGTGGGTCGAAAATTGAACGTTTTTGAATATGTGCAATTAATAATTTAAGAAAAAATTATTTAGAAATATTTTAAGGGTGTTATGAAAATTTGAGTATGGCTAGATGCCTACATATATTTGAAAATAAATCTTTTTTTAAGGTAACTGTAACATCATATTTAAATAAAAATAAATGGAAAATATCTGAATTTGAAATTAAAATAAATAAAGAAACGGCTCAGTGGACGTGTCTAATAAAATTTTTTTTAATTTTAAGTAAATTAGATTTAAAATTTTGAAAATGATTTGAGTTTTGGCTCTATTACCATATTCAATTACGCGAAATTTCAGTAGGAAAATCTCTTAGTAGTTTCTGAAATATAGGTAAACAACAGCTAAATTAAATAGAATTTTAATATTTTTAACTATAAACTATTTGTAAAAATGAAGTGATGAATTTAAATAAATTATTTTTTGAGTTGTCACTTACGTGATTGGATGCATGGAATCGACTTACCTATATTTGTCTATATCACTATTTCTGTAGTTTTACAAACGAAACGTCAATTCATAATATCCTATGAACATATCTTTGTAGTTATATGAAAATATAATAAATTCATAGCCACATAGTTAGACTATTACATTTATTCTCAAATTTTCATTTACATACTTTTAGGGGCTATATTATTTTTATGTTACAATTATTATTTTTGAGCGGTAATTTCTGTGACTTCTCATCAATATATTTAAAATAGTTTTAAACATGAAAAATGATTTCATCTTACCGTGCTATAGCTATTATATACTCGTATTTTATAAAGAAGTAAATATTTTAAAAAATTGCATATATTACGGAGTAATTTTTTAAAATAATCATTAAAAACTACTTTCTTTACAGTAAATTTTCAATAATTATTATCTTTTGAATGATAAAGAATACTTCAAAATAATAAATGTGTAAATTATTAATTATTTGGGCGTTAATGGTATTTTTTTTTCAATTACATACTCATCCATAGTTAGCTATCTATCACTGGTCAATAATTCATTGTTGCTTCAAGCACAAAAACTAATAAAAAAGAAGCAAAACCAAAAAAAAAAAAAAGTTTCTATTCGAATGTTAATTTTTGTTGCGTATGTAGACCGTGTATGTTTTACAATTTATTTTGCAAAAAAACTATTTTTAAAAATTGAAAACTTTCTCAAAACCAATTTTTGTGTCTTGAATATTTTATTTCATTTTTGATTTCAACAAAAATAAAGCTAATAATTGTTGAACAACATCAAAATTGTAAAAAAAAAAAACTTATTTATATTCAGAAGTTAAGTAGTGTGTATAGAGAGCTACATATATAAAGTTTCAGTTTTATAATTTAAAATAAGAAAGAAAAAGAAAAAAAACACATCGAAAGAAAGAAGCAAAAATATGTGCTTTGTTGCGTACACCAACTAAAACCCAAAAAAAAGCGCCATAAAATGATCTTTACGGAAGAATCGTTAAAAAAAATTTTTTTTTTTGTTTTCTGATTTTTTTTTTTTATTTTGTTAAATAGTATATAGTGTTGCGTTGCGTGTACGCATTTTGAATTCGTAAATTTGGGTTTCTTGTTTTGCTCTTATGTTTTTTTTTTGTCTTGTTTCTTTTTTTTTTTCTTTTAGGCTGTTTTTCGTGATTTATTTAGTAAATGTATGTTTATGTGTGTGTGTGTATTTGTATTTTTCTATATTTCTTCTATTATCAATATTGCCAGCCAAGCATAAAAGCACTTGATTTTGTGTAAAAAGATATTTAAAAAAAAAAGAAGAGAAAACAAAAAAAAAATACAACAAAAAGTAAGCTTTAATATAGAAAAAAGATAAACAAGGGAGTGAATTGCGTGAAAAATATATTATGAG